TTAAATATAATGATACTCTTAAATAGTAAAGATATTCTAAAAAATTTACAAACATTCAACAAGGTTGCTTAGGCCACCCACTCATTTACTTTCAATTTCATAAATTAGAAAACGCAAAAAAAACTTTGCAAGTTGAGTCATAATTCTTCGACTCTAGCACATAAATCCATAAATCAGTAAACTGCAACTCATATTAAAACCAAACAACATTCGCAGCGCGAGTCGACCCAGGTCGTTCGCCTGCTTGAAATAAGTCTTTACTATTCCTTTCGACGCCTCGAAAAACAACAAGAAATTAAACACCATCAAATTCAGATTCTGTATTTCTTTTCTTCTGCGATTTCTAAGAGCAATAAGAAACGAAAAACATTTATCAAATACCTAGAAGCGTTAAAAGACTCTTAAAGTTTAAAGGGCTACTTCTGTAACATTTCAAACAATAAGAAACGAAAACGTTATGAAATACCTAGAAGCTGTAAAAGACTCTTACAGTTTAAAGGGCTACTTCTTTAAGTTTTTTGCAGACTATGTGGATTTTAAATGCAAAAAAAGGTTTACGGTTTAGGTTTAGGGTTTAGGGTTTAGGGTTTAGGGTTTTGGGTTTTGGGGTTCAGGTTTAAGGTTTAGGGTTTAGGGTTTAGGGTTTAGGGTTTAGGGTTTAGGGTGTAGGGTTTAGGGTTTAGGGTTTAGGGATGAGGGTTTAGGGTTTAGGGCCCTTCAGCTTAAAGCTCACACTTGCTTCTCCGTCAGTCAGGGCCTAAAACGGCTTCAACTTGATCATTCCCAAAAGAAAGGAAGTCTAAGGATACATAAAAAGTTCTGATTCAAAGCTTACCTGGACAAAAACGGGCCAAACCCTAAACCCTAAACCCTAAAAAATCCTAAACCCTAAGCCCTAAACCCTAAAAAATCCTAAACCCTAAACCCTGAACCCTAAATAAACCCTAAACCCTAAACCCTGAACCCTAAACCCTAAACCCTAAACCCTAAACCCTAAACCCTAAACCCTAAACCCTAAACCCTAAACCGAGGCTGCCTTCCTTCTAGACCCGAAGATCTTAAGGCCCTGCAGCCTCCAGACCACTTTCTTTAAGATCCGAAGCCCAGGCCCTCAAAGCGGTTTAGATTTAGGGTTTAGGGTTTAGGTTTTAGGGTTTAGGGTTTAGGGTTTAGGTTTAGGGTTTGGGGTCCAGGGTCTAGGGTTTAGGGTGCCTGGACTGAAGAACATAATCTCATAGTTGGGGAAGCTGTCTGCTGCGAGCGTCGGCGGTGAAAACGATGCCGAAGAAGAGCCTCAAGTAGGGATTCCGGTTGTAGGGATGTAAAACCATAAGCCCTAACCCTAAACCCTAAACCCTAAAACCCGCCTACACCTCACCACCCCTGAAGCCAACCATGGGCGAATACTTTGAGGGCTTAAGGGTTAGGGCTCAAGCCCTGCTAGTACCTGACCTGACGCTGCAGCTAACTGCAAGCCTGCACATTAAACCCTAAACCCAAAACCCTAAGCGCTAAACCCTAAACCCCCCCCAAACCCTCACGAAGCCCTTAACTTCAAAGCTAAGCAGCTAAACCCTAAACCCTAAACCCCAAACCCTGTCAGCCGATAGGGAACTCGGGACGCTAGACCCTAAACCCTAAACCCTAAGCCCTAAACCCTAAACCCCATAGGGTTCGGGTCCCAAACCCCAAACCGAACCCACCCCCCCCCGGCACGGGTAAGAAAAGAAACCGAACAAGAAGCAAAAAACCATAGGGAACTCGGGACCCTAAACCCTAAACCCCAAACCCGAAACCCCCCCCCCCCCCAAAGAAACTGAACAAAAACATAAAGCAAAAAACATATCTATACAGGCAGAGCAACTCCAGGCCCCAGAAAACGTCGAAGGCACCGGGCCACATTTCCACTGCTGGTACGCTGATGCCTCAGGTGTTTCGGGAGTATCACCCTAAACCCTAAACCCTAAACCCTAAACCCTAAACCCTGAACCCTAAACCCTAAACCCTAAACCCTATACCCTAAACCCTAAACCCTATAGGGTTCGGGTTTAGGGTTGAGGGTTGGCTCCTGAAACCCTCTGAGATAATTTCCCGAATAAGGCACTCACAAACCCAAGAAGGGTAACACAAACCCTAAACCCTAAACCCTAAACCCGAAACCCTAAACCCTAAACTCTATAGGGTTTGGGGGCTTCGGCTTGAGGTTTTAGGGTTGATAGGGTCGAGAGACTTAGGATTTGGGGTTTAGGTTTGATGGCTTGAGGCTCTAGGGGCTTGGGGTTTCGGGCTTTTGGGGGTCTGTTGGGCAGATGCCCCCCCCCCCCCCCCCCCCCCCCGAAACCCTACACCACAAGGGGCGGCCCTAAACCCTAAACCCTAAACCCGAAACCCTAAACCCTAAACCCTAAACCCTAAACCCTACACCCTACACCCTAAACCCTAAACCCTAAACCCTCAACCCTCAACCCTCAACCCTCAACCCTAAACCCTAAACCCTAAACCCTAAACCCTAAACCCTAAACCCCACACCCCCGTACTTCGGGCTCCTGGGTTCCGGTCGATTCAGAGTACAGAAGCCCTGGCCTAAGGCCGACACCCCAGTGGCGCATTCGGAGCTTTGGGGTTTAGGGTTTAGGGTCTAGGGTTTAGGGTTTAGGGTTGAGGGTATTTGGCCTCGACCCCAAGAAGCTCTTCAACGAGTCGACCCCCCCCGCACTCTTCCCCTGGCCGCCCTCAAAGAAGAGCGGAGGCTGATCCACACCATGGGCCCTTTTGGTGGGCTCATGCCAGTTGCTACGTAGTCTCTAAGAGCTTGCAAAACGCAAGCGGGTCCAGAGTTTACATCACCACCCCCGCCCCGCCAGATAGATCAAGACGTACAATGTTCGGGGCTTGAGGGTTGAGGGGGCGGACCCAAAACCATACCACCCCAACGCCTTCCACAAACGGAATCCAACAAGGCTTTTCGGTGTGCACCTTATCCAGGCTCACTGCAATCAGGGCGCCAGGAAAACCTGGGTGGCTTGGGGCGGGTTGGGCCCCTAAGCCCTAAGCCGTAAACCCGAAACCCTAAACCCTAAACCCCAAACCCTAAACCCTAAACCCTAAACCCGGGGAATTCAACCTTAAGGTTCCGGGCAGTTTAAGACGTTTACGATGCCCTTTGAGTATCAGGTGCTGCTTAGGGGTGAGGCTGGAGGAACCCTAAACCCTAAACCCTAAACCTTAAACCCTAAACCCTAAACCCTAAACCCTAAACCCTAAACCCTAAACGCTAAACGCTATCCGTTGAAAACCAAACCCCTACAGCAACAGGGCTTCAAGCTTTGGCTCCACCTTTTGACATCCTCACAGCTGGACTCTAAGGCCGCAAGAGAACCATCTGTTTAGGGTTTAGGGTTTAGGGTTTAGGGGGTTTAGGGTTTAGGGTTTAGGGTTTAGGGTTAGTTTATTATTCGTACTTCTAATTATCACTATTTCTCTCTCTCTCTCTATCTCTCGCTCTGTCTGTGTGTGTGTGTGTGTGTGTGTGTGTTTGTGTTTGTGTTTGTGCTTTTGTTTGTGTTTGTGTGTGTTTGTGTTTGTGTGTGTTTGTGTTTGTGTTTGTGTTTGTCATTGTGTTTGTGTTTGTGTTCGTCATTGTGTTTGTGTTTGTGTTTGTGTTTGTGTTTGTGTTTGTGTTTGTGTTTGTGTTTGTGTTTGTGTTTGTGTGTGTGTGTGTGTGTTTTGTGTTCTTTTTTTTTGGGGGGGGGTTACGAGGTTTAGGAAATCCCAAAGTCTAAGCCCCTAAGCTCTAAACCCTAAATCCGACCTTCTAACCACAGCCCGCAACCCACAAGCCCGAATGTCTCGAGGAAATGCCCCTAGACCCTAAACTCTGAGGGTTTACAGTGGTATTTTGCCTTAGAAAACAGTCGCCTAGTAGTTCCATTCTTAATTGATTGAGATTTGAAACCAAGCCGAACCCTAAACCCGAAGCAACCAACAGCCGCCTAAACCTTAAACCCTAAACCCTAAACCCTAAACCCTACATCCTAAACCGTACAGAAATCCCAAACCCTAACCATGAGCTTCCAGCTAAGGAGCCGAGCCCGTAGCCCACATCCATGCCAATGTATTCACTCTGTAGTGCCATGACGAGGGTGTTCATGCAGATCCTGGTCTCAGTAGGGCTTTCTTGGGGACTTACATTAAGGGGGCTTTAGGGCCTTGATTGGTTTAGGGCCCAGGGGGTTTAGGGTTTAGGGTTTAGGGTTTAGGGTTTAGGGTTTAGGGTTTAGGGTTTAGGGTTTAGGGTTTAGGGTTTAGGGTTTAGGGCAAGGCTTCAGGATTACGGCTCAGACCTGTGACTCATGGTGGAGGGCTCTAAGGCTGGATCCTCCTGCTGCTCCCATCAGCCACAACCGATGGAACGTCGGGGAGGAAGCGAGTATCCTGAACCCTAATCCTAAACCCTAAACCCTAAACCCTAGACCCTGCACCCTAAACCCGAAACCCCCAAACCCTGAGCTCCCAACCCTCAAACCCTACGAGGAGATCGATCTCGGGGCCGAAGCCCCCCTTGCGTGACTGTTGCAGACTTGACTGTTGCAGCTGAGCCGCAGCACCCCGAAGACGGCCTCCACTGTAGGGTTTAGGGCTTAGGGTTTAGGGTTTAGGGTTTGGGGTTTGGGGTTTGGGGTTTAGGTTTTGGGGTTTGGGGTTTGGGGTTTGGGCTTGCTGGGTCTCAGCGGCTTGCAAGAAACTAAGTTTTTAGTTTTTTTGCACTACATATATGAGTAAGTTATTAAATATATATCAATGCAAGAATGGATTGCCTGGAGTGGCCTGGCACGCCTTTTTGTTCCTCAGTCACGCATTCCGATCTTGAACTCCACCCGCTCGAAATGGTCCTGGCCAATCCAAGAAGCTGGCACAGTCAGGGTTAGCTGCAGCACGACGCAAAACTCAATCAGGCTCATCCTTCTTTCTGCTTTGCACAGACCCGGACTCGGACTCGGTCACCCCTGGTCGTAAAGAACCCCAAGCTTCATGAGGAGCTTGTCCAGATTCCAGGACTTGCCGCTCTCAGCAGAATCGCTGTCCGAGCTCAGGCTCGGGCTCGGACACAAATTAAAAGTCAATTTCGGATGCCGAGGTTTCTCAGGCATCCCTCCCTTGTAAACTCGAAGCTTACAGCCATTCAAGGCCCCATGCGCGAACAACACATCCGAGTGTGCCGGATATTTGTTGGCAAAACCCTCGGTCAGATACAAGTGAAAGTGCAGGTCCAAGGCTCGTTGGAAGGCGTAACAATTGCCCTTCTGCATTGCGGTCTGAATGAAATCTCGGTCGCAAACTCGGACTCCTCTCAGTCTGGCTTCCAGTGCCTCCGGCAAGTAAAGCCCTTCGGATATGTTGGCGACCATTAAAACGTCGGCCGACGCAAAGTCCATGGTCAAGCGGAAGCGGGCACTCACATTCTCGGGCCAGTGGGCACCGTGCGCCATCTTGACGCAGACAGTGTTGCCAAGCTTGGGGGCTTTGGCCCGGGCAGCACTCGGAGCATTGGCGGCCATGGGGCCAACCACGGACCCTGTTGCATGGACATATGCAGGTACACAGCCTGCCTTCGTGCCAAAATCAACCTTTTTTCGCTTCTTGACGAGCTCGATCTGCGAAGCCACTGCGGCATTGATGACCTCATCTTCCATCGTATCATCCTTGTCCGCCACGGACTCTGGCGTCACCACCTCCTGGTTCTGCTCGGGCGCCTTTCTTTTGCTGGACGAGGACGCAGAGCTGGAGGCAGGTTGTTCCACGCCTCCGGCTAGAGTCAGGATTATTCATGGCCATAGGTCAGAAACAAAAGCAACATCATAGCTCGGAAAACTATAAATAAACCTTGCGGCTGAAATGCCCACTCTGAATTCGGCGGCTTCCGCAACCATCTCGGACATCGTGTCTTGGGACCCTTTTGCGCCCGTTCGCACAGCACTGTCGAGTGACTCCTTGTGTTGCCTCATCTGGGCTGCTATGGATTTGCTCGAGCTCGCCCGCAATGGTGCCAACCTCGGTTTGTCATTGCGCTCTTGCACGGACAGGAGGTCTCGGGCAGGTAACTGCTTCTCGCCGTAAAACTCAGCGTAAGCCTTTTGGGCTCGCAGGCCAAAGTAGCTTGCCTGCCAACGCACCTGCCGATCTCGACTCTCGGTCGCGGACGTAGTCAGGGACTCGGGCTGGAAGACACTGGCTCGGCCACTCATGTTCTGAACGTTGAGTTTGACACTATCCTCGAGCCGGAAAATGTTGAGGTGATGAGCCCTGCTTTTCTGCTCGGTCAAGCTGATCTCGTGCAACCACCGCTCCACATTGCAGGTGGACGTCATGAACACGAGCGAATGCTTGATGAGCTTCACGGCCTCGTACCTGTTTCGGATCTGGCTCTTTCTCAGCTCGGACAGGGTCTTCACCCAGGCCTGCTTGGATGGCTGCTGGCTGGGATTCTTCGCGTGCCACAAGGCTCGAGCAAAGAGACCATGGCCAGGTCCGTGATCCTCCGCCTGTCCCCAGAACTGCTTCCTGAGTGAACAGGCGGCTGGGACTTTAACACGCATAACTCAGTCTCTGCCACTGGCTCTGAACTACAAATCCAAATTATTAAAAAAATCAGCTACCAAGGTGCCAGAGCATCTTGCCGTCTAAATTCCACTGCTTTGCGACTCGGCCGATCATCGTTTCTCGCTGCCTCATACTCAGGTCCGCATGCACGTCCAGTGCAGAAAGAGAATTCACATACTCCCACAAGGGAAAGTTCGCTCGGAAGTAGGCGTCCACAAGCTTGTAGACTCTGCGCAGATCTTTGCGGATCTCTGCCTCGGATGTTGTTTGCCAGACACTGAGCACGTGCTCGGGCCTTGCACTCCTGGAGCCACGGGGGCGTCGGCCAAGCACTCGGACGGCACCCAGTTTCTTCAAGGTGTTCATGGCCTCCACTGTCACGGACTTGTCTGCAGTCAGAAGGTTCCCCTCCTTGAACAGGTGCCTCATCTGGTGCATGATCTCGGACGCCTTGCGATGGGACGTGCACGAGCACAAACTTTACTGCTACTCGGACTCGTGCAACCATTTTCGGACGCTCGGCCTGAGTTCCGCACAGGCATGCGTCGTCCTCGGACACGTCACATAGACGAAGAAACCGGTGACAAACCAACATCGCGTCGCACACGACGGCTGAACGCACCACTGCCTTGGTGGCACCATCACCTGTCATCCGGCCTAACACGTTCTCTGCCCATGTCACATCCTCGGGATCACCCTCTTCACAGCATCGGGCCAAAAACTCGTACAGCGAGGGCAATGCCTTCAGAATCTTGAACAAGGGCAAAGACGCGGACTCGAACCGTTGCATGGCAAACGAGAAACTCCTCAACGTGCGACAAAACTCGGTCTCGGACTCGGGCGGCTGGCTCGCCTCGAACCACAAACCCAGTTTCCGGGATTTCTCCAGGACTCGGGCGACGGAGTGCTCCCCTGTCACCAATATGTCCAACAAGCCGCACATCTCGGTCAAGCTCGTCCACGTGCTGCGCTGACACGCTCGCATCCTGTGAGCTCGGTCTCGGACGATGAACTTCAACTTGGGTAACTCCGTGGCTGCCAGTGTCTGCAATGCCTGCTGCTCGGACAACCCACCGTCCGCCACGGCCACAGTAAGAATGGCTCTCTCGGGCTTTCTCTCGGGCTTTCTCTCGGGCTTTCGCATCTCGGGCATCTAACCCTAAAGCCACTAAACCCTCATTCCTGAATCACTCTGCATCGTTGCACCTCGGGCCGGTCCTTGAGTCTCTGGAAGAGTCTCTCGTCCAAAGCGTCCTCGGGCCCAACGACTCCTCCTTGATCCCTTCGGCCAAGCCGTCTCGTGCAAAAAGACTTCAACGTGGCCATGACGGCTCGTGCAACATTTTCCTCAGCTGTCTTTCGTGCAGACGCCCTGACAAAGGACCAGTGTTGCACAAACGTTCTCCGTGCCGACACGTCTCTGGACCTGGCCCATAGTCTCGGGCAATGCCAATCAAGCAGTCATAGGTGCCGCTGGCCGGCAGCCACTTATTGTGCTTCAGACCTTCACAAATGTTTTTTTTTGCTCGCTCTCTGTCTCTCTCTCTCTCTCTCTCTCGGTCTCTATCTCTCTCTCTCTCTCTCTCCCTCTCTCAGAGAGCCTCTCTCCCTCTCTCCCTCTCTCCCTCTCTCTCCCTCTCTCTCTCTCTCTCTCTCTCTCTCTCTCTCTGCCTTGCCATCCCGAGGGCTCTACATGTTGCCCGTGCCCGCCCCGCCTGAGTAATAGAACCGTCCGGCTACCAACACGCAGGAATCTCGTTCATCGAGAGCAATGCCACAATGTTCTGCCTCTGCAGAAGAAGCAGACTCGGCACGCACCGCACTTTTCGCTCCGTCCCCAACAACACATTTGATTCCCCGTCCTTCTCCAAGACACACATATCCTGGCCCTCCAGCACTCGGGCCATTGCTGTCACCATCTGCTTGCAAACTCGCTCTGACAAATCCTTCTCACCGCTGTTTTCAGCGTATGCTCGAAAGTCCTTGGCAAGCACATCAAGTCTGATCTGCAATGCCCACCGACTGCTGTTCTCTGCAGCTGAGATTCTCTAAACGTGTCTCGTCGGGCAACGACCACTCCAGCGAGACGAAATCGGTCTATCCGAGGAACAGAATCATTGATCCCCGTCGCCACAGCCAGTATACCAGAGCCACCCTCGGCCTCCCCTTGCCGCGCCGCCTGTTTCGCAGGCAAACTGGCGAGGGCTCGGACATGGCCAGCTGATTTCTCGTGTGCTCTGAAAGCGTGGGGTCCCATCATGTGCACGGACGACGCGGATAACCGAGCGAAGGAACAAGACCTTGTTTGCAAAGCTCCATTCAAATTTCAGACGCAACAACAGATATCTCACTCTGAAACTCGTCTCATCAGTCACAGCCAAGGGACCCTGGCACCTTGAAGCTGTTGCACAGCCAGCATCCAATGGCCCACTCGCCCCAGGTCTCGGGCCGCATCGTTAGCCAGCTGGCTTTCTTGCCTTAGCACATGCGACAACGTAGTTGCTTTCCAGGCTGCACTTACAAACTTTTACCCATCACGACTAACTCCGGCAAAGTTCTGTGCTGCTGCTGCTGCTGCTGCTGCTGCCGGGCATCCGTTCAGCGGGTGGTCGAACGTGTACTGTCGACGCCAGGCGTGCTGCTCGGACTCGCTGTGCAATCTCTTTGACCCTTTCCGGAGTTTGCCCAGAAAACCAGCTTCAAAGAAACATCGGGCACCTCGGACTCGGCCCTCCACAACAATTGCTTAGTAATGCGTGGGCTCGGGCCGAGGTCTGGCAATTCGCACTATTCTCAACTTCAAGGCAGGGGGCATTCTCCACGTGGGCGGTCGCACTTCTGGAAGTGCTGCTCGTCGGACTCTGCTTCTGCATCCCCGTCTCGAGGGACAGCACACTGATGAACCGGCAGCAAACAGTGGTCACGGGCATGGGAGCCTCGGCAGGGATGCTGTGTGACTCCGCCTCGCTGACACGCGAACGAGACCCGGCCTTGGATCCGCAAATCAGCTGGGGCTGCCATGTGCTGGCACGTTTGGTTCGATGATGTCGCAATGTTTCGAACTCTGCCATGCTCTTCTGAACTCTAGTTGCCGAAAATTTATTTGCGCTGGCAAAATCATGGTCTGCATGTCTCGGACTCGTGTCGCTCAAACAGCGGCTCAACGACAACGGCGTCTGCGCACGCCACACCCGCACGAACAAGTCAGTGCTGCGCAGCGCAAACAATCAGACACATGTAATCTCTGGTCCAGTCCTCCGAAGGCTTCTCGAGCAAACTCACTGGCAGCCTGGCACATGGCAGCAGTTCTCATGAGAGCTTGGGCAAACTCGGTGTCAGGCCTTCTGTGAGATGACTATAGTCGAAAGAATGTTCCCGACCTCAGATGGACTCGGCTTCTGAATGTCTGTCTACTGTCTGACAGCATGCACTGGCTACCTGTGCCACCCTACCTTACCCCTCTGCTTGCTTCTTTTGCGCCTCCCGCAATCGAGCACGCCAGAGATCTCGGACAGTCACACTCGTGCCGGCAACACCACGCAGAGGCTCCCATGAAGTTGAACTTTCCAGAACCGCTGCGAAGAATTATTTAAGTATTACCCAATTGCATGGAAGCCGCTAACCCTACTGTGGCAAACACTTGGTTTCGGCGGGCATTAAACAATTTCGGCACTCACTCACCCAACTTCTTCGTCGATGCGTTCGAGCTCTCCTCCGAGCTGCTGCTCTCCTCCGGCTCCAACGGGTTGTCATCCTCGTCAATGCGGGACTTTCTTGGCTTCTCCGGCTCTCGAACCTTGATCTTCTTCTCAGGCGTCTGCACCGCAGTTTCGGCCTCGGGCAAGGCCTCTGTCTTGCGCGGAACGACTTGCGACACGGCCCCTGGATTCGGGCTTCCCCGGAGGCCAGTTGCTGCCTCTGGCTCCGTCTCGGGCACGCTCTGTTCCATGGACAAGGCTCTGTGGAATCTCTTGTCATTCTTGTTCATCACTCGGGCCTTCAAGCTCGCCTTGAGGAGGTCACCCAACAGCTCCTCGTGCTGCTTACTGGAGACCAGCATCAGCACAGGTGTTCTCGCGGCTATGCACTCGAG